TTCTTGCAAATGAGAGGTTGTGCTTTAGAGTCACTCAGCTGTCAGTATTCAGTGTTAGGTGCCTTATTAAGACCTACAGTGGAGAAATGCAGAATGCTTATGGTGTTAAAGGAAATCAGCACATATGAAAATTGGTGAAGCTGGCTCTGCCTGTGCAGAGTGTCTCTGCTCGTTCTTCACAGGTGTGCACAGGTGTAAACCAAAATTGCTTCTCCTGAGCACCATGGGATTTGTCATGATTCATCTTCTTCATCATCATCATCATCCAGCTATCTGTTGTGAATTTAAAATTTTGCTGCAGTTTTCACACATGCTTCGCACAAGCCTACCTACCAGATGTGGTGGAGACAGTGGAGAGTGAGGCCCAGCTAGATGTGATTTATGTAGTGTATCCTGCCAATAGAAATCATCCCAGGTACTGCCTCTGGGAAAGAGCAGTTTGCTTAAAACTGTGGCATGAAAAGGTGCCTCTTACAGCTTGCCAGTGGTGCTATAGACTCCATGGCTTTCCTGCTTTCACTGTGGTTATATATACAGTCAGTTGAACATTCCTTTATCTTACTTTCTCTGGAGGTGACGAGTTATAAATGAATCTTTACAGATTGTTGTCTGCCGGAGCATACCTTGTAGAGAAAAACTTGTGAAACTAAGCAGTATAAAACATATTAATAAGGGGAGTTAAAGAATAAACTGGATTAAAAGAAATATAATATTTGTTTATGATTTCTTCTTTCTCTGCTCATGAGTATGTCTCATGAGCAAGAAAGAGAAGCTGCCATATTGTGGTGGCGAGCAAGAAAGCAGATCAGGTGTCCAGAAACAGGCAGGTAGATGTTTGAACTTGCTCTAGATCACTGCTTGATTCCAGATGAATTCTCCTAACAGGTGGCTTGCTGAGTGGTGTGCCAAGGTGACATTCATCCAGGGAACAGCCTGGATGACAAGCTGCTTCAGACTGAGGAAGGGGTCTTTGCTTTGATGAGGAAATTGCCAAAACTCATGTCTCATTAGTGTTTCCTGAGGTTCTTTGGAAGTGAACAACAGTTTAATTAAAGGCTGACTTAAACACGTTTCTGCACACTTTCCCTGCAGCATTTTATCACATTAGAATTGAACAAAATTGTTGCCTTGGGCTGTCTTGAACAGCTATACATCTGGAGCACCATTTGTGCAAGCTGCTGATGAACAGGCTACATACGCTACGCTTAACAGCAGCTCTTCTGCCTTCCTATGCAGACAGATTTACCTTGTTGGGAGATGAGATGATCTAACTCTTTTCTATTTGCATAAGCGTTTTTTTCTTTGAACTGATGCTTTAAAATGCATAACATGCCACCCATTTGGATGCATGCATACATACTGTATCTCCACAGTAGTATGGGAATACAGGCAAGAGTGATTTGGAACAGCACTGAGAACAATAATAAAAAAAAAAGCAGCCCATTTTTCACATTTGAAGAAAATTCTCAGCAGGACAGAACATAGTGTCTCATTAATGTTGAACTTTTGATAACTTTGTCCAAGTACTTTTGGCATCTTTCTACTTTTCATCTGTACATTTTTTCCAAAAGTCTAAAAATAAATCATGCTTGAAACTATTTTATTTTCATTCTCAAAGTAATAAGGATTGGAATCTCATTTCTGAAACTTTGACACAGACGTTAGAGCAAGTGGCCTATTTTTGTCACCTCTGTTTGTCATTCATTATGTAATTATCAGTATATTGCTAAGCTCGACGTAGCTGCTAGACTATATCTCATGATGTGGAAGAAATAAGACATATTTTAAAATGAGAAAAATGTGTGGTTTCTATTATGTAGAAGGTATCAGTAAATTCATATGAAGTCACTGTCACTTCAACTCATTCCGCTTTATTTAAAGGTACTGTTTCTTACAAACAAAATTAAAGATAGTAAAAAATTGCTTTGCCTTTTTTGTCCCCCGCTTTTTGTTTTTGTAACTGGTAACTGACTGAAGAACTGTAGCGTGTTTTCCCATTAAAGCTCTAACCCTTCTCTCTTGATCAAGGAGGAGATGGCTGCAGTCTTTCTTCCTAACCTATACAAGCAGTTATTGTTCTGTCTCCCCTGTTGGCTGCATCTGTTACTCGGCAGTGGCAGGAGCATGAATGCTCCGTTATGATGGCCAGGCACACACGGGGAGAGCCGCGGGGGCTACGGGGGGGAAGGGGCTATCTGAACTGCTTCTCAATGTGAAGTGCGTTGTTTTAACAAAGAAGCCGCTGCCTGCGCTTCAGCCGTTGTTCTTTGCAGTTGCCCACGCTGTACATAACGAGTCTTCTTCTGAAAGTAGTTCATGGTGGTGTGCTGTGCAGTGCACATTAAAGTGATTGTTTTGGTGGCAATGAGTGTTTTTATGGCAGTGCTGAGTTTTCTGTTCCTGACTACCAGTCATGTTCACCTTGGTGAGGAAACAGTCTCCTGTATAAGAAGTTCATTGTCTTGGCTTTGTAACGTATGCTGTCTGTTTTCTATGTGCTAACTACAGTTCTTCCATAAAGTAGGAGCAGGAATAAATCACACATTTTTCAAGCAAATGCCAAGGTTATCATAGTCACCAATCTCCTTTTCAGTAGATTATTTTCAAATTAGCGACGCTGCTGGGGGGTTCATGGATGCTCTGATTATATCGCATTTCATATAGCATACTTCTTTTGAGCATCTAAAATATTTTGGTTTTGAAAAACACAACAACTTTTACTCGTTTAATGAAGCAACAGTCACCAACCAAATTAAATCTTTGTTGCATTCTGGAAATCAGAGCTGCTGACACATGTAGACCTTCAGGAACTAGGCAGCTCTGTCTTTCATGAGTTCTTTTGTTGAATATGAGCTTTACGTAAGGAAAAGATCTTCCACTTCCAGCCCATAATTTGTTTTTTCCTTAGGGAGACTGAAGTGCTGTACTTTTCATTTGAAATGAAATCAAACTGTTTGTGTACATCCTCTTCTTTCATGATAGCCTATACGTGGTAGAGTCAACAAGGTATTTGATAAGTGCTGTGACAACTGCTGATGACCACAGCACTGTAGTGGGAGGCTGTTTCTACAGGCTATTAGGCACACTCATCTTTTTTCTCAAGACTGTAACATTGCAGTGTTTCTACAGAGACAGAGATTGTGCATACACAGAATGACAGTGCAAAGACAATAGCTGGTTAATTTTGTCCTGGGCTTTTATAAAACCCTCCATATGTTACGGAGGTGTGAGAATTTTCTTGCTCTGATAGAAGTAGCGTCTTACGTGAAAAAGCTAGGGCTGTCATTTGAGCAGAAAATAAACCGTAATGAAATATTTGAAAATCATTCTAGAATTAATGTGCCTGCTTATCATGGTTTGCCTATGCAAAACTCAATTAAAAAAAAATCAGTATTGAAATTTTAGAAATTATTTCTTAGCTTAGCAGAATGTATTCAACAAAACTGTAACCATTTGGCAACTTTGTCTTTGCTACCTGCTGATAGAATAAAAGAAACAAAGTATTACTCTATTTTCTTCTTCAACAGCAATTTATTTACCAAATTTTTATGAGACAGAGCTTCCTCTGTCAGCATTCTGTGTTTTTGATAGCAACATAAAATTGCAACAGATCAGTACGATAAAAAGTGTACAGTAACCTTTGACTGGTTAAAACTGAAGGAGCACTGAGTTGCTCTGTTGTAAAGTCATTCCTCGCTCTTGCTGAATGTTGTGCTGAATAAGATCCTTTCTCAGCAGCCTTCTTGAAGAGGTGAACCTTGCAGGGTGTATGGGAGATCAGCAGATTTGGACCAAAGGGGAGCATGGGAGTTGCAAGGGGACAGTGGAGGGGCATTGGCAGAGTCTGCTCAGGGTCTTGACAGCAGGATGGGGCAGGGTGGAGAAGTGGTCTCTCAGTTCGATGGGTCCTGGTCTGAGTGTGGCTTTCACACCCACTCTTAAACTCCAGCTGGTTCAGAAAGCACAGGTCTAATTTGCTCTTGGTAAGGCGCTTGTGGGCCTGTCAGTGACTTCCAAGGTGATTGTATCTCCCCCAGAATAGCACAATATAGTGTGCCAATATTGAAAGTGCCAAAATCACTTCAAGGGCTAACATGGTCCATGTAGGAAAGTCAGATGCAATATGGCCCCAGTCCAGTAAAGTACTTAAGAAATGACCTTTGTTTAAAACCGGGATTAGTTCCATTGATTTGAAATTGAACCCACTTACAATATTGATGTGTGTCCTATAAAAATGTTATAAGTAACTTTGAAATAATTTGGTGCAAATTCTAACATATTATTTAATTAATTTGAACTTTCAGAAAGAATCCAGTATTTTTGCTTTACGCAATATCAGTAGCCCTGCATGGTAGAAATCATACATTTTTCCCTGATAGTTTGTCATCTTCATGCAGTGAGCTCTGAAGAGATGTTTTTCTTGATAGGGAAAACTGGAAGGAAGAGGTGGGAAGGCCCTACTTGCGACATGGAAAATATGAGATAGAGAAGTTAAAGTATCTTTCTTTTCAGGGAGGTTACATTGTTTCACTATGGTTTTGGGAAGGGTAAGGGATACGTTTTGAAATAACAAAATAATAAATACCATAAACGGGAATATATAAGGCAGTTACCCTACACACCTGAGTGTAGGTGTTCCATTATAAAATGCAATAAAGATTATGTGGCTGCTGAAGGAGCAGATGATTTGGTGAAGTTCTGGGAAGCTGAGAAGTGTCTAGGGAGGTTTTAAAGACATGGATTTCTTCCCTGTTTGGCTTGTCTGGTATGAAAGGAATGTAGTTTCTGTTTTGCAGGACAAAGACCAGTTAGGGGATCATTATTCATTCTCAAGTTTGAAAGCAATATGTTAAAATTAGTTTATTGGTCACAGGGGACTTGGGTCACCAAACAATATTTATGCAAGAACAGTAAAAATAAATATCTTCAGTCTACAAATGGATGTGTCCTGAGATGGGCTTCTAAGCTAATGTCACTGTTCCATTGTTTTTCTATTGCAGATATGTCTTCTCCTACAATGAAGAAACCTGAAAAGCCTTTGTTTAGCCCTACTTCTCCCCAGGATTCTTCACCGAGACTGAGCACTTTTCCCCAGCATCACCACCCAGGAATCCCAGGAGTTGCACACAGTGGTGAGAGTTATGGAGGAGGAAGAAATACCTCCTTATTCATTTGGTCTGTTCTCCTATCCTACAATCAGATTGTGGTGCATTTTTGGAGACTTTCTTAGAGACCTAATCCCATTTATAATACCAATGAGAGCAGAAATATAAAAGGTTGGGGCACCTTGCAGAAATGCTCATTAAACTCAGTTCAGGTGGTCTGACTGCTGCAAATTACCAGAAAGGATTAGGATTAACCACTGAATAAAATAAACTGTAAAATGCATGAAGGAAGTGACAGAGAAAAAATCCTCCCCATCTTTCCTCCTTCTACCTATACCCTTTTTTATTAGTGTTGCTATGACTATGCTGTTTTTAAATACCAAAATAGGTAGGGCTAAATACACAAGAGAAGTCACAACCACGTTCACTATGTGACACAATGAAATAATTGCCAGTACTTGTTTTGAATGCTCTGTCGAAAGAGATAGAGTCCTGATAAATATTTTTAAACATCTGTTTTCTGAAATCCCTAATAAATCCATAGTAAAACTTCCCTTAAAGTGTGAAGGAGACACTTGAAATGTGGCGGAATGCATGTTATCTTGAGTGTTTATCCGGAATGACAGAGAAATTCCAGCATCATGGTCTGTTTAATTTTAGAGGTGAGAGTGACCTTGATTCTTCAGATAAGAACACAGTCCTCAGAAGTCTCTCCTTAGTAGCTCATCATGTCTCCTTGTAAACTGCTTATAAAAGGATTCATTTCTTGAGCGGAGCTGGGTGACGAGAGGAGTAAAACAGTAAAACCTGAGGACTCTTTCTTCTTTTCTTTGACATGCAGTCCTGCTTTGAGAACTTTCTGTTTTGTGATTTCTCCACAATTTCAAGTTCCTTGCTTTCAATTCTTGAGTAAAGATTATTTCCCCCTTAATATCCACCTATTTTATATTGTGTAAGTGAGCCTGAACTCATTCTGGTCTCTCTAAGGTTTCCTATGTCAGGAAATACTCAAGCACATCAGAGATGGTGGGTGAAATGGAAAGGATAGATTTATGCTCACTTTTGTTTGTTTTGCACATCTCTCATGTCAGAGCAGTAACTAATGTTTTATGAGTAAACTGAACTGGTGGGGCTGTGATTAAAATGAGCTTGTCACAAAAGAAGCTTCAATAATTGTTACTGGCTCTATACTTATGTGTAAATCCTTGCATTTGCTTTAATGTATAATTTTTAGGTATACGTATTTGAGTGACAGCCAACCCCCAATTTGTAGATGAGCTATTTACTTCCTAGGAAACCTGATTTTTGTCTGTGTAGTCTGTTCTATTGTGTCAGTAAGCAATGGTTTTGAGATTAGCAAAGTTTTGATTACCAAGTACAGCAATTTTGGAACATTCCTACTGTTGCTTTTTCTTGGGCAAACTATGACTTGGTCCCAGCTCAAAAATAGCAACTAATTTAAAAATTAAGTTGGAAAAAACCAAAGATATGTGAGGTGGTCCAGAAGAGCAGTGTTGGTGTGTTTGTTCTGAAATAGTATAGACCTGTGAGCAGTTTATAAAATATCTTGCTTATACAGACCTGATTTTGTACCCTCCCACTAATGAAAATGAAATCACCGTAGTCTTTTCTCTATTTCCATTGAACTCCGTACTTCCTTTTTAATCCACTGCCAAGTAGGATGTGCTGTACATTCCTTTCATTGTGAAAACATTGCTAGTTGTTTAGACATTACATATAGTCTATAGACAGAGAAGACTGTGTTTATAGGGGCTGGGAAGAAAGAGAATGCAAAGAAAAATATGTATAGGGTAGATACTTTTTGGTTTATCAGAGATGTTTTTATTGCATGGATTGGTTTCCCAGGCCCTGAAGTTGAATGGTCATTAGCATTTCCACAAAGGTCAGCTAATATTCATGGCATTATTGATGAGTAGTTATTACTTCGTCCCCACATGAGGCAGGTAGAGTGCAATGCAGTGAGGAATCAGTAACTGTTTCTTAAGACTTGGTGACTTCACTCTCCTCTGTTAGAGTGTAGATAAAAGTGTAGGTTTTACTTATTAAGGTATTTGTTTGGTTTATTTGGGCTCCAGATGAGAAAACTATATAATTGAAATGTCTTTCATGCTGGAGAATGATTACTGTTTAAAGAAAAAATGAAAAAATATGATGGCGTAGCCCACACACCCAAAACAAGATACAGTATTTATGAATTTGAAACAGTAGCATTTTCCATTGCCTAGGATGATGTGAAGGGGAAGACAAGTAAGTTTTTCTGTAAAGTTGCCATGAAGCAGGAATTCAGTGTACTGGTTTGTGACCGACTTTCTATTTATCTTGCTGTAACACAGAGGTGAAGAATTTTAGAAGAAACAAGATGCGAAGTAATTTTAATTTTGTTTTATCTTCTCCAGTCATCTCAACTAGAACTCCACCTCCACCTTCACCATTGCCATTTCCAGCACAAGCTATTCTCCCTCCTGCCCCGTCTAGCTACTTCTCTCATCCAACGATCAGATATCCTCCCCACCTGAATCCTCAGGATACTCTGAAGAATTATGTACCTTCGTATGACCCGTCCAGCCCGCAGACTAGCCAGGTACTGTAAAACTGTGAATGTGAACTGTCCGAAAGAAGTCCTATGAGGAATGTGTGTCTTCCAGGGAGTCTCACTAGTTCTGGTCTCAGAGCAAGCTGGGAGCTGGCATATAAGTGTATAAACATATAAGCCTATAAGTGATCCAGCAACTTTTCCCGTTCAGCATGGTTGAATAAAGGGCGCATATCCACTTGCTCTTCTGCCGTCAAGCGTAAGAAAAATGCTTGTTCTGAACGACCCAGCAGCACTAACAAGGCATGTCCTGGTCTTGCATCCGTCCTGCAGGCTGGGTGCCTTGGTGGCTGTGCAGGGCTGCTGGGGAGGAAGCTCCTGCTGGGGAATGGAGCGAGGAGTGCACTGACACACGCAGGCACACACATGCACACGCACGGATGTACAGGTGTATTAACAGACTGACAATGGAAGTAAACCCTGGCAAGGTGACACTTGCCTTGCTTTGTAGGCGCCTGATGTTTCTTTGCACCGATGCAAAGACGTTACTGTAGTGAGTGTAGCAGAGACGCACAAAATGGCTTTTCTTCCCTGTGTAGAGAACATGTAGTAACAGATGAGTTCCTCGCTGCTACACTGATTCAAACTTGTGTCTGGTATGGGAAATTAACGTGGTTTTCATTAGCAAAGTAATCTGTGAAGGACTGTGTGCAAAACTGCTTTCCATGATAGCATCAGCAGACAGCGTAAGCATGTGATCTGCACTATAGGATAAACTGCAGTTGAGACTTGGTCTGTCAATACTTGGAATATTTCCAGTGTCAGTGTAATGTAATCTTTGCTGCTCAGGCTGTTATTTATTTTTTATGCTTTGTCTGAAAGACTCCTGAGGAGCTCTGTAGCTTGTGCTTTAGCATGTTTTTCGGAAGAGCCTTGGGAATGTAAACTGAAGAGAAAACGGTCAGGTTTTCCTGCTCCTAAGAGTTGGGTTGCTTTGGAAGGACTGTCTTATCAGGGATGAAGGGGTTACTGTGATGGCATTTTGTTTTGGGCTTTATTTTGTTTTATTTTTCACCAATAATGACAGGCCTTTCAGCCTGCATTTCAGGCGTAACAGCAGTAGAACATGAGACTGAATCAAACTTTCTATGTTGAATGAGAGATATGGCCCTTCTGGGCTGTTCAGAAGGTTATTTTGGCTATTGTCTCCATGGGCTAATGCTATTGTCTCCATGGGCTAATGCTATTGTCTCCATGGGCTAATGCTCTGGTCCAGCTGCATGACTTTCTATGTATTAAAAACCCCCAAAAAACCAAGTCTATAAAATACAAATTTTCTTTGAAGGGAGAAATCCTAACGTTATGATTTTTGTTGGTTACCATATTAATGCAAATTAAACCAAAAATTGAAAATGGAGTATGTCGGCTTTAGAATACAAATTGCTATCTGCACATGGATTAAAAGTCTTTCAGTCCCATATAGCATTTTTGCTGAGACTCAGCTGGGAATGTTGCATGCAGGACCTGATTTTAATTTGTGCAAAATTTCCATGAATAACAAAGTCTAATTAAGACATCCATTAAAAGTCCTTAACGTTAATTCAGTGTGGAAAATCTTAGAGTTCGGTTGGATTTTTTTTTTAACTGATGTCTTAATTAGGCACTATTAAGGGAAAAATTATGCAAATTAAAATCAGGCCCTTACTGTTATGCATTTATTTAATTATTCAGTGCTTGTTTTACTTACATTTTGATTTCTCATATATATTAAAAGAGCAGATTAGGTGATAATCTCTCTGGATTGTTCAGTGTTCTGCTTTGGATCGTTGCTGAAAAAATGCAATATCTAAATGAAGTATCTGACTTTCAGACGTTTTGACAAATGTGCTGTCTTGTGATTTTAACATTCAGGAGTATATTCATTGAGCAAGAGAAGGGCTTTCAACTCTTTGCCCAACAAGAGTCTTAGTCCCTTCCCTTATCTGTGGTTGAAAGATTAATCTTTAGGCCTTCAAAGATAAAATTGTACTCTGCTGATTGTTTTCAGAGAAGAAGCAAACTCAAAACACTTCCTGTTCTTGTGTTGTGGCACCATAGGGAATAACAGGCCAGACCAGCCTCAATTTACTACTTTTCTCACCTTTTATAACCTTTATATTGGGGTAATGTTTTTCATTTCATTTGATGTTTGATTTAGCTCCAGAGAAAAGGAGATGAGGTTAAACAACGAGTATGGGATTCCAGGCATCAGCTATTCTCCACAATTTATTATCATTAATCACTATTATTAGTGGAATCTCTTTAAAACTTAATTCTTTAAAGTTCACCTCTGAGATATGCTGTACATCAGAGGAGTTGCATGCCCAATCAAAATATCTCTAAATAGAATAGAACAGTTAAAGGATGGCTGTACAAAAAGTAAAACAGCAAGAATAATTTTTTTGCTTAGGAAAAGAAAAAGCAGCCGTCTGTGAAGTTTCAATGACAAAAGGGAATTGTTCTGATACAATGGCATGCTTTGAGCCAAACCAGTTTTTCTTTTCTAAATAAAACATGAATTTTTATTCAAACAAATTTAATTATTATAAAATGCAAAACTGCATCTGTAGGAATACCACATCAAATTTAATTATACTTTCCCACCTCAAAACATACTCATTTGGATTTCAAAAGGAGAACTATGATGATAGTTTTAATTTCAGCTTTAGAAATAGAAAGGATGGATACCCTGACAGCATTTACCTAAAATGAACTGTTCCTCCCCAACATCTTTCAGTAATACGCTAATTTAGATTGTTACGACAAGCTACTGAGATGCCTTGTACTCCCCACAGCAATTTTGAGATTAATTACATTACTGCTGCACTGATTATAGTGAGACAGTCATGCTATTCCATGGAATACTTTAAGTAAAATTAGTTTAAAGATATAGAGCTCCCATAGGTTTCCATGGTGGGAAGCAGTGGGCAATTTTCTTGACATAACATTAAATACTCCAAATTATGTGTGATGAACAGTCAGGAAGTTCAAACAGGCCCTTTGGCTGCAGTGAAAAATTATTAAACAATGGATGACCCTAAACAAAAGAGAGCTGTGGCTGTTTGTTTCGTGCATATCTGCTTTTTATCCCCTGTTCAATATGGAGAATAAATAAACAAATACACTGAACAGAAATGGACCTTGTTAGATACAAAGCTGGACTTGCCTCCAGCAAGTAGTCTGAAAAGTTCCCAAGGTTTTGAGAGCTGCTGTACTTTCCACTAATTAAGTAATTCTGCTGAGCCCTTTTTATTATATTTATTTCAATGCTTTTCTTCTTAGCTAGGCACACATGTTACTGGATGAGATTGTGTGTGTGAGTATGTATCTGTAGTATGATGGGGTGCTGGTCTCTCCACAGTTAAATTGATATTGGTCACTAACTGTAGGTTTCAGCAAAAACTAATTGATTGTTACGTGCCTAATCCACCTACGGTGTTTGTTCATCTACATTGTACTGAAGTTTTCAAATCTACTGCAAATTTTGAACATGTATTTCCTGTTTCAGTGGTTCCAGATGGGTCAATCTTTAAATCTTGGAATATATTACCTGCTCTGTGTGTATGTACACATGTGCATGCACACACGCAAGTCTGCACACGCTTGAAATGCATTAATAATTGAGAGTGTATGAATCAATATACAGTATCAAAATCAGACTTCCAATGAGCCTGAACAAATCACCAAGCGCAGTAACACCTGCGTGGCTGAAGTCAAAACCAAAAGCTCCAAACTTAATGCCTTGTTGAATTAAACAGGATAATTTCCTCATTAAGGTGTGGTGAATCACAGGAGGGTCAGAAAGTATGATGACGGAAATGATGGTAAAGCAGACCATGGTAAACAATGGTAAAGCAGAGTGAAGAATCCTGCTGAAGAACATCCTGGCATCAGTGAGAATTTATTTTTTTTTACTGAACCAAGCAAACAGAAGTAGTCTTGCAAGCCTTTTGAGTTTGGATTATGAAGGGCAAAGTTTACAGGTACCTTCAAATCAAATTTTGTGATATTTTTGATTAAATATGTGGTTTTCAATTACATGGTAAAACTGGCTCCAATTTGTGGGACTTAAGTATTGAACCCGTTTCCTTTTACAGGAGATGGTTTGCAGTGGTTACAGTCCAAGTGAACTGCTGTCCACATATTGACTAAAATTCCTGGGACTGCTAAAATGTAAAATGTACTTTGTTGCAAGTTGGGCTAGTTTGCAGCTTTGTCTTGTTAATGGTTTTATCATTGTCTGAAGACAGAAATGTCTGAACTGCTTGAGAAGAACTGCTTGTGGAAGCTGGTGAGGCCATTTATTTTCCTCTCATAATTGACTGGGGTATTCAATTTTTTGTTCAATGAAAGGTAGACACACTCTTCAGGATTGCCAGGCAGATGGTTTGTCATTCTTCAATACAATAACTGCAGTCATTTAGCCATGAGGAGAGAATCTTATAAGGCTCTGGTTGGGCTGGTTGAAGGGTTTCTTGTTGGTTCCTGGGAGAATACTAGCAGAATAAGCCAACACAAGTGATATGTGTGCATACGGTTTCTTTGGTATAGCTAGTACCTTTATTTGTTCACATTTAATAGTTTCAGCTTCTTGGACAAGTGTTTCCTTGTAAATTTTAAGAAACTATTGAAGATTAAATAAAATGTCAGTGTGCTGTTTTTAATTGTAACTGGGAGACAGAGTACTAACTTAGTCTACTAACAAGGTCTTTACAAATTGCAGTTGTAAATGATTCCTTTGTATTTAGTTTGCTAATTTTTAGTTTATTAAATGCACAGTTATGTATCTAGAGTGCACGAAATACCATTTAACCCAAAGATATCTTTTGAACATTTACCTACAAAGAGATTTCCCATGCTTGTGTAATACGGACTTACCCCGTTGTAAAGGCAAATATACAAGGTAAGCTATTTTTTTCCTCGTGGTTTATATGTTGACAAATAATTCAGATTCTTTGAGGTCATGGATAAAGTTGTGATTCAGGATGGAGAACTCTTTGCCTATAACC